CACACACAGATGCACATATAAAATAACACCACCAACAACCTGGTTTAAATTTATAAAGGGAAGCCTTTATACTGGTTCTCCAAACTGCCTTTTAATGGTTTTTCATTCATTTTAAAATTTGTATTTTTAATTTGACATATTTTTCTATGTAAATGTTCACACTGAAATCGCTGTTGGTATTATTTTTTGTCATGACACAATCCAACAAAAGCCGACCTCACAAAATAACTGGACTGCCTAGCTGTTGGTTCTGTTTTTGCAGGGATAGTAAACAGGGCTGAGGGCTCGTTCTCAGCCTCTCTAGTAACATTAGCTCTATGTACTAAAACCATATATCGAGACTATAACAATATATGGAAGTGCCTCTGTATTCCCTTCATGCAATTAGTAATAAACTTGACTTCAGGTTTTCTTCCCACATATAAGCTAAAGCTACATGGGCATGGTAGCGTTGGTGCATGTGGAAACCATTGGCCTAGGACAGATCTTTATAGAGGACTGCAAACTCTTTTTTTCTTTTTTTTTTTGTAAAAACAGAGAGAGAGATCTTATACATATATATTTATGATATATGCTCCTTTGTAACTTTTACTACGAGCTTGTTGGCAGTCTAGTTATTTTCTGAACACTCACCCCCCCCCCTCACTACCCCCCTCCCCCACCCCGCCCCACGACCTGTTTCAGTAACATCACCATATTGTTACCAATACGAATTAAACGACACACGCCATTGCCATCTGCTGCGCAGCATTATAATACCTAGATGAACATGTCAAAAATCGACAGTAGGTTTGAAGAAAAAAAAAGTGTTTGTTTTTTGATGGAAAGTATTATTATTGAAAAATATGTGTCGATTGAGCCACGTGCAATGCATTGGGTAGATCATTGTGTTTGTCTGTTAGAGATTTTTAAGAAAGCTAAGAGAAAAGAGAAAAAAAAATGTATTTGTTTCAAGTCCATATGCTCCGGGACTCTAAACTAGAGGGCCACGAGAAATCCTAGTCTTTGTAAGTTGGGGGTATTTGTTTTTATTTCCTTTGTCTCTTTTTTAATGTTATATGTGTAATCATTTGTTTATAAAAATGTGGGAGGGCTGAAGGAAAAAAAAATGTACACAACTTCAGAAAAAAAAAATCTCTATCATCAGATGAAAAACTGGTGCTTTAACACTATAAAGTACATTCAGAACTATTATAAATGAGTGAACAAAAATAACAGACCATTTAGGAAACTGCATTATTCCTCTCTCTATTTGTATTCTTCTATTTGTATTAAGTGGGGGGAGAGGTTCCTATTCCTTAAGGTTGTGACACAAAAGGCATTTTGGTTCAACCCTTAGAAGAAATAAAGCAAACCTATACTGTCGAGCCCAAGAAACTCTTTAAATAACCTACCCGCGCACTGCCTGAAACTCACCAGCAAAACAAAACAAACAAAAAACCCTCCCAGTTAATTCATTTGATCACATACATTGGCATTGACACATGACAAGTCTCTCCCAGTACTGCGGAGATACTTCACATCCCAAAATCAGTTTTTTCCCATTATCATCCGAGTATGTTTCTAAATCTGGAGTTGGATGGAGCTCAGCAGGCTGTGTTGAGACACCTGACGTTGAAGTGGACCGAGACCTTCTGTACAGTTAGCAGAAAAGGGGTAAAAGAAGCTTTTAATCTGGCATACATATGAGGTCTGAGCCATTTGTGAAACAGGCAGCAAGGTGAGCCTCTCCCCTGTTCCACCCCCTCCTCTGTAAATGACTCTTATAGTGCTTGTGCTGTAGTGTATAGTTTCCCAGCAGTTAAAGGTTGTCCCTTGAAAGTGCCTTTTGTTCACAGACTCCATTTTGTAATCAAGATGGCCCTTTTTTTCTTTTCATTTGTTTTTTCCTTGAAACAGCTTGAGGTAGCAGGTTGCCCCTGAGTGCTGTAAGGAGGCAAAAGGTCATCACCCATTCAGCGATCAGGGGCACCTCTTTCCTCCGGCTTCGAAAATGAATTCCCTCCATTGTTCCTTCCCTTCTATCCTCTCTTCCTTTTCAAAGCTATATATATATATATACATATATATAGTACGAAAGGAAACTGGTGTGAATTAGTTCTTTACTTTTTATTGATAAATGAGAAAAAAAATTGAAAAGGCAAAAAAACTTGTTCTCGTTCAGCTCTTGCTTTTTTCTTCCCCTCTGTCTCCACTGTCTGTTTTCTCTTAGACACTGGAGTAGTCTGTAACTGTGTGTCTGTCACTCTCGTCTCTCTCTCTCTCTTTCTCTCTCTCTCTCTCTCTCTCTCCTGCCCTCTCTGCTGTTGGGAGGATGAAAAAAAAATATTGCCGAAAAACTTTTGTCTGAGCAGAATGCAGTTAGCTCACATGTTATTCTTGTCTGTATGCTTCACATTGTATTACCATACCCATCTTCTTCAGCTTCTCCATTCAGCAGCTAATGTAAGTGAACAAATTACGCTGACGGGCTTTTGGGGGTGTCCCTGGGTGGGTGAGGAAGGGACGACAGTGGTTCAGGGGTTTGGGTTCAAGAGGTTTAAGGGGAAGATTAATGGGGTTGAGAGGGATAGATGAACTGCTTTGGGAAGTTGGAAAGGGGCTGCATGGGCTAGGATAAGAGTTTGCTCTTTTTGTTTAAGGTATTTATTTTTTGGCTTTGTTTTATTCCCTCTTTTTTGTTTCCTTTTTTAATTTGGAGTTCTTTTCATATTTGCTATCAGGGTATGCTGTCGTTTAGGCTCTCTTTGAGTATGCCTTGGACTGTAAAATGAAAGCTACAAGCACCTTATAACCGGACTTGTCGTGCATGAGGCTGAAAGAGGGGCGATGCTTTACCAGCATAAATCCCACATCCATTTTAACCAATCTTATAAAGTGAATCTTTTTTTTTCTTTATTGCTATTTTTACAGTGGGTTTCACACATGGAAACCCTCAGCAGTATTAGCCATTCACCACACATCAACCAGATAGAAAAAGGCCAGCATGAACCTGATCTCTCAGATTTTTGAGGACCCAGGGAGTCCCTCCATTTTTCTCCTCCGACCACCTCATGCAGGATTAATCCGTGTTTTTGTTCTGTTGTTTATTTTAGTTCTTTTTCTTCTTAAGTGTGTATGGTTTAATGGTGAATTAGGCAGCACCCTAGGCCCCCTCACTCCCAAGTCTTCTATGCCTCTGTCTATGCCCTCAGTGCAGCACCACTTCTTTGTGAGAACACCCCCAGAGCTCTAGGTGAAATGCATGTGTTAATTACAGTTTCTTTTCCATAAGAAGAAAAACACAGTTTGAGAAGAGCAGCACCTGATTGAATAAAAAGGATGTTCTTGACTGTACCATCTTGCTGTGCCATGTCATTCTTTCAGTATGTAGGATAATGCATAAAAGAAATGCCTCAGGAACAGCTGTTAATATACTTCAGTCCTTAGTGTTTCTAAACTGGACTTGCATACGTTAAAAAATAACTTGTCTCTTTGTAGGGTGTTTGGAATTTGAAAGCATTCAGGCTACATGCCCCACCTCTTTGTTCCAGATTCAAATGTGGAATGTCAGTAGTGCCCAGAGGGCAAACTGCTGAATTTGGTTATTTAATCACTTTTCATGTCGTGTTATGAAATTAGTTGGTCAAAATAATTGCAAACTAAATACTTTATAACAAAGTTAGAAATTTATTTATGTCATTTTTATCTCCAGTTTCTAGTATGTTGTCAGCGCTGTTCCTTTTTCTTAAAACACCATCAAGCTGATTTCTTGAAACTTTGGTATAGAGGTGCAAAATGTGCAAAGCAAGAATATTGGTATTGCTGATATGGATCATCTTTAAAGCTTTAACTGCACTGGTCCCCGTCTAAAATGAGATGGGAAACTTATTAAACGTTATACTTGTTAAAAACCAGATTGATAGCATTGTGACCTGAGCGTTCGCATTTCACTCAATGTGATTCGCAGTGGTACAGCCTCACAGAGCTGCTAGCAGGGCCTGCAGGCTCTTTGTTGCATTCATTAAAGCAGTGGTCCCCAACCTTTTTTGTGCCACGGACCGGTTTAATGTCAGACAAGATTTTCACGGACCGGCCTTTAAGGTGTCGCGGATAAATACAACAAAATAAAATGATACGACCAAGAAAAAAAACAGTGGAATTTTGTAAATATGATAATAAACACAAATTCACTGTGTAATTTTGTAACTTTATTAGCAGCGCCAACAACATTGTGAGTAACGTCCTCCTCTCTGGCCCTTAATGCTCTCTGGTCGCTATGGTAATGCGTAAATATTTCTTTGAAAATAAGACGCACAACTACAACACAGGAAAAGACCCAGGGAAACCGAGTTAACGATGAAAACTCTGAAAACCATACATTTAACACCCGAGCTTCAACTCTCCTGGCCCAGTACCAAACCCGGGGGTTGGGGACCGCTGCATTATGGAACTCACCAAACACTGTCAAGCCTTCCTTCAAAAACAGTAATGCAAGTGTTCAAAACAAGAAAAAGTTTAATAAAAAAAAAAAAATGGGCAAGTGACAAAAAAAGGACAAAATTTGGTTCAACAGTGTTTAAATATTTGGGTTTTTTTTAAAGATACATTTACAGGTTTCAAGCACTGCAGCTGCAAGTTTGACTTAAGTATTCTGAGCTACTAGCTCATACTCCAGGAAAGGATTCCTGTCCAGCCAGCAGTAAGCACATTAGCACACGAACATAACGTTAAATACACTGATACAAACAGATAAAAAGAAATGACAATAATTTATTTGGAAGACCAAAATTAGTTTTTAAATACTATTTTTGAGCAAAACGTTGTTGGTTAATACTCTGCACGGTAATGACTTTTTACAAATGAGTGTTCACACTAAGTATGTGCAGTATGGTCCTGTGTTTCAGCGTAAGTCATGACAAATTAAAGTAAACCAGAAATAAAACATCACTGAGGTATATTCAACAACCACATTAAAAATTTCTGACAAAGTGCATGTGCTGGTGAGCTTTTTTCTTTTCCCTACATGGCAATAGTGCACTTCTTACCGGTTACAGTGCCAAAGAGCACGAGGCATCAGATGACTGCTTGATCACTTCAAAGATTTAAGATCATAAATAAATTAAAATGACTTTAGAATTATGAATCATAAACTCCTATGATTTGGCATCGATTTGATCAAGTTTCAAAATATTTTCCTTACTTCAACCAATAATATATCCCTGCCTGTGAAAGGTAAACTGGGGAAAAAGTTAGACATTTTCTTTCCTCATATTCAATAAATTAAAAATAATGGAAAAAATATTTATGGCCGCTAATGCTACCCTCAGCCTCCTAGTAGATGCACCTATAGTATAGATTTGAAAATCATTACTTTCTTCTTTGGTTATTGTATTCACCAGATTTTCAGAAAACTTGGCCTCTGACCTTGAGGTCAAGGTCACTGAGGTACTTTAATGATTTTAATGTACTTTGGCTTGTTCAGGAGTGGCTAAGGTAGGTAAGTGGATTGTCTCTAATAGCTAGTAGTTCAACTATGTGCAAATTCCATAAGCAAGGCATGAACTTCATGACGTACACGTTTTTATGACTGAATGAGAAACACATAGCAAAGCGCTTCGTAGAGCCTAGCTAAAATTAAAAAGACAAAGTAGAAGTTCACTGCAATATAATGACATTCAAATGATCCCAACTGCTTGAAATTTCAAGTATCAGCAAGTAACTGAAGCTCCTCAGGGCATGCGCTCCTCTCCATTCTCACCTGCCTGAGCGTCAGCTTCATCGGGCACCCTGGATCCAGAACTCTGAAGAAGATGGAATCTAATTAGTCTTTTTAATAATGAAAATCAGTTTTTAAGTTTCTGCTCAGAGACAACTGACCTGTTGGGCTAACGTCTGCGGTGCAGGGTCTGTTTCCTGCACTGGGAGGTGCTTATTTTCTTCATCACCATCTGACAGCTCAGGCCCTGCATTGTCTTGCGATGGTGGAAAGTGTAATCCATTTTGCATGGGTGGAGATGATCCATTCTGGATGTTGAGAGATTAAATCATGAAACTTTTTGAAGGGCCTCATGTCAGTATAACCACAGACTGCGGGGGAGACATTTACCTCTGAGAAATTTGCCTGCGATGATCCACTTGTCTCCTGAACTGGAGGATATTCAGGAAGTATTGGTATTGCAGCATGCTGAGGGCACGGTAAAGATGGAGGCTTTCCAGAAGACAAAGTAACAGGTGGAGGGGGTGGAGGGGGTGGAGGGGGTTGCTGAACCGAGGCCTAAATGAATGAAGTGCCATTAGAGACAGTCTGATGTGCAGGCAAGCAATTCTGTAACATGAGTCGAGTTACCACAACAGCACCAGTGGGTCTCTGTAGCTGCCACTACTGACAATGATTTCAGGTGTCTATTTCTGGTAGTTTAGGAATTTCTTATGACAGGAACGATGTATAATGGGCAATTAGGCTTCTTTAAATATTGTTTATTTTATTCCCAACACTTACAGAACTGAAATGCATTCAATCACCAAGAACAACTGCACAACTTAGCAATGGATATTGTTTGGGTTAGTCATATTCTGAAAAAGAGACCTTAGTGTGGCATATTAAATAATTATGGTAATCTAAATTTAAGCTTAGGTAGGTAACAATATATAATAATAATATAGCGCTTTTCAAGGCACCCAAAGCGCTTTACAATGCCACTATTCATTCACTCTCACATTCACACACTGGTGGAGGCAGCTACAATTGTAGCCACAGCTGCCCTGGGGCAGACTGACAGAAGCGAGGCTGCCATATCGCGCCATCGGCCCCTCTATGTATGGATGCAATAAAAAATAAATAAAAAACAAAAGCAAAATATTTGACTTTGAGTCCATCATAGTGGTTGTTTCACAAGTAAAAGAACAAGGAAATAAAATCCACACTTGTTCTCCTGAGTTTTGACTCTTTTTATATCAAACAGCACTTAAAAATGTGCACTTTGACACATATGGGACAAAAGGACAAAACAATGCAAAACAACAAAAACAGGCTAGCAAATAGCAGCTTATCATCCATTTGCCTGGCATTTATAGAAGAACAAGAGTTGGGCAAAACAAGACAAAGTCACATGACAAAAGTCATCTGAAACATCAGGAAAATGAACATCAGCCTACGTGCCTTCATAATCCTCCTGATCTGATGTTGTTACACCATATACAACTATCACTGCTGTACATGGTTTAACTATGTAAAGCTATCACTGCTACTAAGTGACTGCTAGTAATTATCACGATCATAATCATGGTCATAATAATGTATCTGTGTTTAAAAATTGCATACTAAGGAGTAATGCTATATACACGAGGAATTAAGCACTTATTATTATATTATTATAAAGTGCTACCGAAAAAAATACATTCAATAAAGTAAAATAGCTCCATCCACTCAAAATAGAAGACAATAGTACGAAACAACACAAAATGAAAACAATACACACACACACACACACACACACACAAACACACAAACACAATAAATAATAAAGGAAGTCATAAAGGAAAAATCTACATGGAGCTCAACGACATGTGTAAAGCTCAATATAATCCGATAAGCTCGATACGTAAAAATCTAAATAAAATACAATAAAAAGCGTCTGTAAAAATGAACATATAACGCAACAAAGTGGCTCTATAGAGTAAAATCGATCAATTAATTCAACAAAGCAACATGAAACTGAATGAAAATGGCTCAGATGACATTAAAGTACGACCATAACAGAGGGTAAGAGCAGTACGAGCATATAAAGTGGCTTCGTGTATGTGCACACGGGGTGTGAACACTTTTCTCTCGGGGTTCAGCCCACTCTCTGCCACGGCTGAGAGAAACCAGCTCCCCATGTGTAGCTATGTTTTATGTGTTTGGGCCACACACAGTATGCGCTGTGGAGTGTATATGGTGGCCATACCGTACCGTAACGGAGGCACATTAGACCCAGGCTGCTGTTCCATCATCCCCAGGTGATGGTGGGACAACTCGGCTGCGTAGCAGATTTCCCGGCCATAATGTGGGCCGGTCCTGCTCGCGTACAACACCTCAAACGCCTATTTTAAACCGCAAAATAAATCAATTTGTAAAATCGAATGAGTCCGGTCATCTAGAGCAGAATTTAATGTGTTTTGGTTGTTGTTTGGTAGCTAGGTTGTCTACCCCAGCTGCAACCTTCGCCCTGAAATGTCCGTTAGTTTCAAACATCAATCCAGATAATAGCAGGTTTTGATTTATATGCAAAGCTTAATGTTTTACGATAAAAAATATAGACCTCAATAAACGTTTAGCTTGTTAATTGGTGAAAGAAAGATGTGTCGCTCACTTACCATTGGCCAGCTCTTTATCACAAGAGGGTTAAAAAATGAGACGAAACTTTCTCTCTTCTCGTTCACTTGACAGGAACCAATATATGCCCTTCAGAATAAAAGCGTTTTATTTTATTATTTTTTTTCACCCAATGCAGTTATGTCAGAAGCTGAATATTTTATTCATCGTTAAGGACGTTATGTGGTTACAGTCTAAGGAGCTTGGAAAGAAAAGCGTCTGGACTTCTTTAAGTGGCTTGAAGACGTTTCACCTCTGATCCGAGAAGCTTCTTCAGTTCTAGGGTAAAATGGTGGAAAGTCCCAGATTTAAGCTCTGTGGGAGTAACCCACCGAGAGGGACAATGGATCCTCTACCTAATCACATGAGCTAATGTGTGAAAATGGCTGTAGGTCACAATCAGCCAAGGTTTCGGGTGAGCTCATTGTGAAATCTAGCCCCACCCTATCATGTGATTTCCTGAGGTCAGATGGCCCAGGATGTGAGTGTGTTATGGCGTGTGGGAAGGGATCGCAAAACTGGATTGTTGATGTTGTTGATGTACGACAGTTGGTGTCGTAAACCACCGCCTCTGTTCAAAGATGGTCGCTCACAGTGGACATAAATGGCTTCTTTTACTCCTCTTTCAAGCTATCTGTCCTCTCTGTCCAAAATATGTACATTGCTATCCTTGAAAGGGTGACCTTCGTCCTTTAGATGCAGATGGACCACCGAGTCTTGTCCCGTGGAGGTGGCTCTTCTATGCTGTGTCATATGTTTATGAAGTGGCTGTTTGGTCTCTCCGATGTAGAGGTCTGGGCATTCCTCACTGCACTGTACAGCATACACCACATTGTTAAGTTTGTGTTTAGGAGTTTTGTCTTTGGGATGAACCAGTTTCTGTCTGAGTGTGTTGCTGGGTCTGAAATGCACCGGGATGTCATGCTTGGAAAAGACTCTCCTGAGTTTTTCTGATACACCGGCTACATAGAGGATGGCAATGTTGTTCATGATTTATATGTTACTCTAAATTGTAAAACTATTTTATTTGCTATTCTCTCTGTAGAGCATGTACAAAAGGGTGTAACTATTGCACTGTGTTCTCTGCATTAGATCTTCAGCTCTGCCACTTCCAGCTCAGCTTCCTGTCTTTTTGTTAGTGCTACCATCTCTAAGCTATGCATCACTGCAGGTCTCACTACCATCTTGTAAACCTTCCCTTTCACTTCACTTTCCTGCTATCCTTCTGCTACAAATCACCCTGACAATCATCTTCACCTGCCCCACTCTGCCCATGCAATCTTCTTCACCTCTCCTGTGCACATACTGTCCACTGCTGGATGATCCCCCAGGTATCTCAACTACCTTCACTACCTCTGCTTCTTGCATGTTCACTTTTCCACCTGTTTTCTTATTCTTATTAGCACAAATGTATTCTGTCTGGCTTCTGCTGTTGTTCATTTCTCTTCTCTTCAATGTATATATCCACCTCTCCGGGCTGTCTTTCACTCGCTCCATACTGTCACTATAGATCATGTCGTGTGCAAACATCATAGTACACAGAGACTCCTGCCTGACCTCATCTGTCAGCATGTCCATCACCACTGTAACCAAGAAAGGGTTTAGATCACCGATGCAATCCCACCCTAACCTTAAGCTTTGACATCACTCCTACTGCACACCTTACCACTGTCCTCATCCATGTCCTGCACCACCCTCACATACTTTTCTGCCACTCTTGACTTCCTTATACAGTACCACAGCTCCGATCTTGGTATACTAACATATGCTTTCTGTAGATCCACAAAGACACAGTGCAACTCCTGATCTTGTCTATAATTCTCCATCAACACTTACAGCAAAGCTCGCATCTCAACTTTTAATTTGAAGCTTTTACCGGAAGTTTAATGTTTGATGTTTAGAAAACTTCCTGGTGATATAGTTCCGGCTCGTATTTCTTGTAAACATAGCGTACGGTCGGACACACAGAATTGTTCTCGCTGATACAGTTAAAATTTGTGTCGCCAGTTGTTATTAAAGCCACGGTATCGCTCAGTGTTGGGCGTTTATCGCGTCCGAACGAGCTGCAGCGCTTCTCCGTAAATAAGGCTCCCCGCCGAATGACAGCTGTCAGCTAAAAGCTAGCCAAGCTAACGTTTAGAGAGAGCGCCGAGTCTGTCAGCATTAGAAAGAAGTGACAGTCTCATGGTGGTCTCATTTCAATGGGGAACTGTCTATTTTCACAAGGTGCGGATGACCTGTCGCTGCTGAACGACTCCGAGGGAGGCAGTCTGCCCGGAGAGCCCCCGCCGCCATACCAAGAGCAGCCCGGGTCTCAGGTGAAATACAGCCCGGGGAGTCCAGAGCATGACAATTGAATCCCCCTACCCTCAAGTCTAATTAGTGGTGGAGGCTGTTATTGCTGTTATCTTAAATTTGGAAGCTGAAGTTTGTGCAGCGCAGCTTTCAGGATCAGATTGCACCATGCAGAAATTAAGCTTGAATAAAGTAAATACCACAGTCAAATTACTTCTACAAGATTTTAGAAACACAGTCATAATTTGTGTTCGGGTCTTATATTTTTTTGAAAAAAGGATAAAACATTGTGCAGTGTATACGCATAATTTGTAATGTGACAATCTTTATCTCGATCCTAAAACATTGGTTCCTTTATCTAGTTCATGTCATCAGCTTATTATCAAGAAAACCAGGAACGTCTTGCTGAGAGGTGACGGTACAAACCTTTGCACCACTTTGTCACGGATATATAAGTCAGGCTGAAACTTGCCTAAATGTATTTAGGGCTTTTTAACATTTAACTTTATAAGCAAGTAAACATTTAAAAAAACAAAAAACAAAACCGATTTTTTGTGTTTGGCTCAACACAACCCGTCTCCTAATAGTGGACCTGAAAATCTAGAAATTATGCAAACACATTATAATGCTTGGAAATGTACACTCACTGGACACTTTATTAGGTACACCTTATTCGTACTGGGTTGGACTTACTTTTGCTTTCAGAACTGCCTTAAGTCTTTGTTGCATCCAGGTGCTGGAAACATTTCTCAGATATGTTGGTTCGTATTGACATGATAGCATCACACAGTTGTTGCAGATTTGTCGGCTGCACATCCATGATGGGACTTGCCTGTCCCACCACATGTGGTGCTCTATTGGATTGAGATCTGATGACTGTGGAGGCCATGTGAGTACAGAGAACTTTTGATCAAGAAAGCAGTTTGAGATGAATTGAACTTTGAGGCAAATTCACTGAGGTCATTAAAGGATGGACCTGGTCAGTAACGATACTCAGATAGGCTGTGGTGTTTAAATTATGCCAAGGGCTCTGACATAGACAAGATATTGTGACCCAGAGAACTGTGGCTCAATGGATATTTTCTCTTTTTCAGACCATTCTCTGTAAGCCCTAGAGATGATTGTATGGGGAAATTTCAGTAGATCAGCAGTTTCTGAAGTGCTCAGACCTGCCTGTTACCAACAAATATGCCACATTCAAAGTAATGTGAAAGGCTGATTGAATATTTGCATTAATGAGCAGTTAAACAGGTGTATCTCATAAAGTGACTGGTGAGCGTATATGCACTTTTTGGCCCTCAAAATTGTAAAGATGGTTAGCTTGTAGTCCAGTAATCAGCGCTAGAGGGTTCATTTATTTAGATTGTACCTGTAGAGACAGAATCTGCTTTTGCTCAGTGTTTCAGTCTTGGACATTTAAAGCATAAGGAACTCTGATATACAGGTGTATCATATTTTAATTTAAATTTTTAATTTAATTTAAATGAAGATGAAGATTCAGGTAATTTAGAAACATATGAAAACACAAGGAAATAAATAAAATATCTTTATCTGGTCCCAGGTTTTCTGATGCCACTGGAAATATAAAATCACCCTTTCAAAGATGACACGAATTGTCTTCTTTTCATTTATTTCAAGGAGCGCACTCAGGCTGTGCCAGTGTACCATCCCACCCCAGGCGAGAGCCGTCTGGCCAGTCAGCTGACTGAGGAGGAGCAAGTCCGCATCGCACAGCGCATAGGACTCATCCAGCATCTTCCCAAAGGCATCTTTGATCTAGGCTCTGACGCCTCTGAGAAGAAAGTTAAAGAGTGAGTTTTAAATGGTGGCACTCTCATTTGTTTCAATTTACATATCGCTTTGATTCACTCATCTAAGGCTACGTCCACACTAGCCCGGATAGATTTGAGAACAGCGTCTGAAAACGCTCCGCGTCCACACTAGCGTTTTCAGTCATTTTCATAGAGTTGTGCGTCCACATCGAAACGGCCGAAAACGCTTACATTCCAGTTCTGCGCATGCGTGAAGCGCAAGAAGACCTGCCTCATTTCTCTCTGCCGCTTATTTACTTTCCGGCTCTTTGAAACGTTGCGGCAGAATGTTGAGGAAAAGCACTGAGTTTTTTAAATGGACTAACAATGAGGTGGAGTTGTTGCTGCGAGTAACACAAAAGTACAAAGTTGCAAAAGCGAGTGAGAGTTAAACAATTTGAAGAAAAGCTATCTAGAGCATGTACAGACTGATATTAATCTTTAATAGGGCTGTCAAAATTCAGAGCAAAGCAGCAATCACAGCAGTGTAAGATGGTGAAAAATATACCCTTAGGCCCCCTCCTCGATTCAGAGATGGTCTTTCCCTTTTCACATAAATGGCCTCCTTGACTCCTCTCACAAACTAGCATTCCTCCCTGTCCGGGATGTGTACATCCTCATCATTGAAAGATAGGCCACTGGCCTGTAAGTGTAAATAGACTGCAGAGTCCTGGCCTGACGAGTTAGCTCTTCTGCAGGGACCAAGAATTGGGTCCCCTGGCACAAACAGAGTAATATAATATAAGTTGTTAAGTGCCAGGAGCATTGCTGTGATTTATACATTGGGGCAACAAAACAACCTCTGGCTAAGATGATGGCACAGCACAGAAGATGAGTTATCGTATGAGTTATTGATTGTATTTTGAGATGCTTTTTTTTGTAATATATCAAAGTCTTCGGGTATTGGTAAATCTTTTCACTTTTTTCCCCTCCAGATGTGTCATCTGCATGTTGGATTTTGAATATGGCGACCCCATTCGGTTTTTGCCCTGCCTTCACATCTACCACGTGGACTGCATCGACCCATGGCTGATGCGTTCCTTCACCTGCCCCTCCTGCATGGAGCCCGTAGATGCAGCCCTGCTGTCTACTTACGAAACCAACTGAGCGGCCCCTGGTGGCTGCTTCTGCCTAAAAGTAATGCACCTTTTTAGCCAAAACTGTCATAGCTGTTCCAACAGATAGATGAGGGGATGTGGCATGATGCAGATGTTTGTTGGGTGCTTGTTAATACACACAAGTA